AGAACAACTTTTATTAAATGCTAACACCAATTCCCCAAACACCTGAGGGATGTTGATGTGTTATCCACATTAGATTGTTTAAAAGCTGTTCTTGTTAACTGTTTTAGATCCTTACCATACAGGCTTCCCTCGTCTGAGGGCTGTATCTGCAGCAGGTTTTAATGGTTGGATGGTGCAGGTACAAGTGAAGTACAAAGAATGGTGTTTTATTTGCGTAGCCACCTGAGCTTGAAATTTGGTCAGTCGCATATGGCCTAGGAAAAGGTAGTGAGCCTTGTTTGCTCCCAGCATGAGAGTGAGAGCTAAGTGCTTGCATGGTAGAGTTGATCATGTCACTTATATACATGAAATCATAGCATTTTCGCATGGCCTGTGGTGGGAGAGAATGTGTAATGGGGCGAGGGGCTACAGCTGAGAGTTTTTCTTCTAAAGAAATTTCTTTTTCTAACTACAAAACCTTGACACAAGATGCACTGCCACTGCTACTTCCAGTTCACTTGTACTGATGTTGATAAGATTCTGTGCCTTGGGAACTTGTGGCATCATTTGTCAGTATGATTACTGAGAAGATCCTTTCTGAAGGGATTTAAACAGACGTGGTGCTGAAAGTGATTGCCGGAGTCGTTGGTGCTAGTGCTTTCTGTGCTACGCTAGCTGAAGGCAAGGGGAAGACTGTGTTAGAAAGCAGTTGGGCCAAAGTAACGTTTCACAACTGTTTTAAGCACGATTGCAGTGAATGCAGTGTGTTAGAAGGCTTTCGTGTTGCCTTTGCCTGCCTTCTGCAAAGTAACCGCAATGCAGTTATGAAAGTGGTGGGTAAAAGAATGCAAAGAAGTATTTATCTCTTCAAGCCAGTGGTAAACAACTGTTGACTGTCCATTTCCCTGTTCTAAGAGAAAAAAAAACTTGCAGAGATCAGCGTCCTGGCATTTTTAGGGAGGTGGGAGATATTAGTCAGAAGAGAGTCAGTCATAGATACAGAAGTTCTGTTTTTTACTTGCCTATATATTTATTTGATAAGGGTGAATCAGCCAGAAGGAACCAGAACTGTTGGAGCTCTAGTCGTGGTTTGTTTTTTTTTCTTCGCCATTTTAATAGTGAAGCATGCATCAAGGTACATGAAGAAGAAACTCTGCTGTTCCTATTGGAATTCATCTTATGACATGCTCTGGGTTTTTTTGATGATAGTGCTTTCCCATTTTGATGCTTTTGGAGGAAAGTGTGTGCAAAGCTTACGTGGCTTTTAAGTTGTCTTTGAAAGGAATTAATCTTCCTACGTTCCAAGAGTGAAGATCTCTTCTGTGAGATGCCATTGTCAGATGCATTGCAAGTGGGTGCGCGCTTTCCATTTCTAATGGCAACAACATACGGGGCTTTGTTAACTCAGCATGTAAAAGGGATCTCTTATCAAAATAACTTTCGAAAATCTGTTTTGGGTTGGGTCATGTAAGGTGTAAGAGCAGTTTAGAGCACTACACAGAGGAGAATATCCTTGCAATGAATGGTTGGTGGCATTGTTTTGGGCTGCTGTAGGAAATGTCTTCTTCACATTCAGCTTTGTCAAAGCTTGTTACAGTATCAGCATTCTTTCGAAATATTGCACTTCTGCATTACATTTTATGTTAGATTAGCATCAGCCATGGCTTTGAGTATTTTTAGATGCATTGAATACATTTATCACCTCATTTTGAAGTTGTGCCATTTCAAGAGACTTTACTGCCGATGTCTATGGGCACCTTACTGTTTATTCAATACAAACGCGAACTATTGCAGCTTTCCAATTAGCATTTTGCGATGTCTGCCTTACTCCTAACAATATTGTGATCTTTCAGGTCTGCTGCAGTATTCTGTCTTAACATACCACAATGCCAGTCTAGAATTGAGACAGACTGCCTTATACTTAATTGGAATGGTTTTTATTCGTTACTACTTCTCTCTTTCCAGGTGGGTCTGTGAAGAAATCCCAGATCTCAAGCTTGCTATGGAAAACTACGTTTTAATTGACTATGATACAAAAAGGTGAGAGAAATATTTTTTTTTTTCCCCACCAGGAGGACAGGCCAGCATGGTTTATAGTGAATCAGTTTGTAACTGGTTATTCTTAGACACTATGAACTGAAGTTTTCTTTTAGAACTGGCTTCAGACTCTGCAGTGTTATTTTGGTAGGAAATGTGTAACAGAAATATTGGCAAAGGCTGTTGGATTAAGGACATAATTGGAAACTCCACACAGCAGAAAGTTGAGCTCTGGTGTACATTGGAATTACTCACTCCGAAACAATGATCGGTATTTGCGCTGTTGGACTGCGTCCAGTGTTAGGAATCTGAATGGCACTGAGGTTTCTACTTTTGTAGTAACTAAGAATTCCTGTTTAGAAAGTGGCATGCCAGAGCTGTCTGTCAGCGCCATGTCCTCTGCCTGCCGTGACTGTGGGAGGTTAACCTTCCCCATCCTTTCTCTGGGTAGGATTCAGTGCAAGCAGGATGCTGTTTGGGTGGGGGGCTAAGTTAAAAGGTAAAATACCACTCTTCTGGGCAGTTAGAAGTAATTTTAAGATGCTTGTAGTTACATGTGAATACCTATTCCACAAACAGCTTAAAATGAATGTATAGTATGTGGCATTCACCTTGAGGCTGGGAGAGGCAGATTCTGACCTGTGGTGTATTTGTGGAGAGGTCTGAGGTTCTGTGTGTTGACTTGGCTGTACTGAGACTGGAAAAAGAGATGACCCTCAAGTGCAGTTTACGAAAACCTCCTTAGCTGCTTTCATGGCAAAGACTGAATTTGTTCAAGTCCACAGCATGACTAAACTTCTAGAATGAGGTTTGCATATGGAACTGCATTGCTCTAATCACTGGCTATTGTCCTGAGCACCAGATACTTGCATCATGATGTGCTTTAAGGTATTGCTTCCTCCTCTCTTAATTTCATTTTAATTGTTTCATTGCAAGACTTGTTGGTTCCTCTCTTCCTCCTGAAAAATTCAAAAGGCGAAATCAGGGTCGAGCATCCCTTGTCATCAAATTCATTAATTTGGATTTGTGAATTACTCACAGTGACTGCAATGCTGTAACTTTTGTAGTTCTGGCATCCTCACCGGGCATGTTTAACTGGGTAGCATCAGTGTGGTCGACAGCAATACCGAATAAAAGAGAAACCCATCTGTTCCCAAAAGGCACACCCCACTTACCTTTCTGCAGCTTTTCAAGGAAGTCATAAACCTGTAATTTTGGTAATGATTTTAGTCTTTTTAATTCCTTTGAAAAAATCTGTCAGAAAAATTACTTGTAGCAGATAATGACACATGGATGTGAATGAAAAGCAGCGGATTATAGAAATGCACGTGCTGTGCAGACAAAAACCCATTTCAGCCTCTTGCTTTGTCTTAACGTGGAAATAAACATGGGCAGTTGAAAGCTTGAAGTGGAAGTCAGCAGTACTCCTCGGAGAGGTGTCCTAGCCAGCGTAGTGGTAACAAGGATCACAAGAGACTGAAGAGCCACTTCCTCTGATGTCCCCTGGTCCCCCCGCCCCCTTCCTGATTTGGGGATGGCCATGATTTAATTATCTTACTCCTGTAACCCCTTGGATTTTTTTTTTTTTTGCTGCTGCTTTGTGGGTCTGATTACATAGCGGATGATGTTCCTAGTGATATCTTTTCTTCCCTGGCCTGAGATGAATTTATTTAATCCTCTCAGCTTCTGTCATTAAGGCATCTGCCTGAATTGACTGTAATCCCAACCAACCCATGAAGCAATCAGTATGCTTTTCTGATGGGTGAAATTTTAGATTGTGTCCTGGGTCTGTCTGCATTTTCAGTCCCAGAGTTCATTTCTAGAAAAGTATCTACTTGTCTCAGGACTGATTATCATGGAGAGATGATGGAACAAAGGAGAAAAATTTACAGATTTCTTAAATTTCTGTGCAGCTGAGAATATGGCGGAGAAGTAATGGGCTATGAGAATACGAAACTTTCTAATAAGTCATACTTTGAGTTCAGTCCTTTTTCCATTAATTAAAGAAGCTAATATTATTTGTGATGTACTCCTGGTCTACTGGGGAATTTTTTTAAAGGAAACTGTATACAAAGTCCTAAAGCTGTGTATGTAATTACATGTTCTGCAAGAAACAAACCCTAAATAGCCACCTACTTACAGTATGTATGATGACAAAAAAGCACAAGGTTGTACCTTCAAACCTGCTTTTTAGAGCTCTCTGTTTTAACTGACCCTGCGTTCTTTCTCCCCACTTAGCTTTGAAAGCATGCAGAGGCTTTGTGACAAGTACAACCGAGCCATTGATAGCATTCATCAGTTGGTATGTATTTACCTTTGTTATGCACCATGATGTTTATCTAGCTGGTTTGAATTCACATATAGTGAATAATGCCCAGGAAAGCGGTGGCTGACTTAGCGCTGGATTATATGTGTTAGTCCAGTTGCATCACCAGTATTCAGCACTTCCATTCTTTTGGGGAGTGAGTTAGTCCGATATTAAACCTTATTTCCTTGATCACACCTGGGCAGTCAAGGAGTTAGTCTTGGAGGGATGTTCTTATAGGAGGAAAAGAAAAAAAACCCACTTTTTTCCGCCCAAACTGCAGATTTATAAGCTATTACTCTTTAGTGTGCGCTTCTGGCGCCCTTGTTTTGGCACTTTGAAATAGCTGAGTTACCTTTAGGGGGAAGAAGAAGTTTCTCTGCATTTAACGTGTAGATGTTTCACGGGGATTTATCATATAGATTTACTTTTGCATGGGGAAATCTGTGGCTTATGGGTACTTAAATAATCCATATGAACTCTCCTGTGTATTGTGCAAGTGATCCATGGCTTAGGAATTTCCTTGCTTGCCACTCAGTTCAGCTGCTCTGTTCTGCTGGATCACTCTGGCAAAACTAGAATGTAATCTCTTTTCAGACCAATTTAACAAGCTTTTTGGTTTTCTTACCCCTATAAAAGGTTGAATTGGAGGAAGTAAAACATGAACAATGAATTAATGTTACTATTCTGTTTAGTTTTGAAAGTATAGGTGGATTTTTTTTCTCTGCTGTGCTTGTGGGAATTATTTGAAGTGTGCAGTATTACGGCAACAAGACTTTTCTGCCAGGCTTTCCTTCACTTTGTGGGCCTACAACTCCCTAAAACTTGTGCTTGTTTGGATTCAGGTGTCTTCATGTGTATGTCAGTTAATAGCTAAAAATTTGAAGCTATTCAGCATTTGCAATTGCTGTCTGAAATGGCAAACCTGTTTAGTTTCATTTTCTTCTTGCCATCTGAATCTGAAACAGAGGAATGTTTAGGAGGGATCCTGGAGTTGTCCTTTTTTTTTGTCTTTCCTTATCAAAGGGAGAGGGAAACATTTTTAAAATGTAACAACTTTTATGTTTAGGACAGGTTTTTTTTCTGAAGAAGAAAGGCAGCTCGATTTCCATCTCTTTCCTGCCACTCCCTGTTTGAGTACATATGATCCCTCCCATCCTACAGTTCCTGAAAGAAAATGAGACTGCTCTTATGTTGAGAGTACAGTCAACATCAGTTCAGTGATGATCAGTAAATAAAAAATGAGTGAACAAACTTTTACACCTACTCCAACTATATTCAGTATTAAGCTTTACATTGCCTATTGATTTTTAAATCTCTTTAATTTCCCCTTTACCATCTATTTCCAGTAGGCATATTTGAAATTACCTATTAGTTGAGGTGAGACAAAGTATAGAGCAATCGGTGTTGTGTGATTTCTTTAGTGTCGTTCACTGTTTTTATCTTTGCAGAGCACCTGCAGACCAGGTGCAGGTGAGAGAGGGGATGGGAGGGAATTTCTCTCATTTCTATGTTATGCCAATGCAGCCTTGTTTTGGTGATGTTTACTTGTCCTCACGTTGGGTTCATATCTTCTTCCTGCTCTTCACCTTTAGTGGAAGGGAACCACCCAACCGATGAAACTGAACACTCGTCCCTCCAACGGGCTCCTCCGGCACATCCTGCAGCAAGTGTATAACCACTCGGTGACTGATCCAGAGAAACTTAACAACTATGAGCCCTTTTCCCCAGAGGTTTATGGAGAAACTTCCTTTGACTTAGTGGCCCAAATGATAGATGAAATTAAAATGACAGAGGATGATTTGTTTGTTGACTTGGGCAGTGGTAAGTGACCAGTAACTTAAGTGGGTTTTCTTTTTCTCTTTTTGCTTGTTGTTTTTTCCTTTCTTTAAAGAAAAAAAAAGTGCTGTTCATATTTGGGAAGTAAACCAGGACTAAGGATTGTGTTACAGGATAAGCACCTTTTCTAGATAATCCCCAATGATGCTCCTGCTTTTTATGACAAGATTAAATAGACCAAACAGACATCCCAGACATTCTTCCCTGTGGTGTTAGTGAAATGTCGGCCTACAAATGCAATAAACCCTTGTTACAGAAAACTCTTGGTTTCTGTTGCTATTGGCGGATACACTTACAAAGAAGAAACAATATTAAAAATTATGCTTGAAAGATAACAATAGCAGTTCCATTTCTAAGGATTCATCTGTTTTCAGTGGATTCAGTTTATGCCCTTCATATCTGAAAATGTGATTGCTTGACCCTTCCCATGCCAGCGTGAAACACTTGGTGTGGAATCTGAAAATTAAGCAGTTCTTTTCCTCTGACATACTTTTCAGTGTGTCAAAAAAGACTTTATAGTTAGTTTTAACAGCTGCCTTGTAAGACCCCACAAAATCTAGCTTACAGCCTACAACTGCATCTCATGAACAGGTTAGAGTTTTAAAAGGAAATAGATGTTTCTAGTTGCTAAAGAACCAGATATGACTCAAACACATGTGGAAGAGATATACTGAGTAAGAAGATGATGTTCTTTTTGTGGCTAAAATCTGGTTCAGAGCAGGAAAAGAGTAATAAGAATTTCCCCTTTTTCTGGATGGGTTGTAAAGTTTTAAAGGAAATATGTTTCGGTTTTGTTGCTGGTATGATACAGGACTTCTGGGGAAAAATATTTTAAAATACATTCAGTTGTTAAAAACTGAATATATTTTAAATTTAAATATAGCAGGACTGCCATTTCCCCCAAAAAACTCAATACATTTCCAGTCAGGGATCTTCAGTGATTTTTTTTTTTTTACCCCGCACTTCCTGCCTCGGTGGGACTTATGTCTGAAATTTCCTGTTTGAATGACTTATGTTCAGATGTGACATTTAGAAAGGTATCAGATCTGACAAACTGTTTTCCATCTGGAAGAAAAAAAACTGCCATAGATGCTCACGATTGTTTGTTTGGGAAGGTTAAAGAAGATCATATCTGAAGTCCTGTAGTGCTGCTGATTATGTAACAAGCTCAAATGTCAGATACTTTTACCTGCTATCATCAGAAATAAAATCAGGCATTTATTGCTAACCTTCCTGCTTTAATCTTGGAGATTGACCAAGAGTATAAAAATTCACAGTCTAAAAAGCCTGTATGAAAGGAATGGTTTAAATTCAGAAGCCTTTGACTTTTAATGTTTGGAGCAGTGAAACAATTAAAACCAGAACATAGTTGTTGAGGTTGTAGTGAAGGAATGACCTTTTTGTAAATTGTAACCAGCGCAGGATTGAGCGCAGTGTAACGAAAACACTGTCATAGCATATTATTTCTATCAGTAAATCTAATGCCATTCCAATAACTACATGCATACAGCAGTGGCTGAACAGCAGGGCTAAACCCCCGCCAGGATGCTGTGGCTGTTCTTGTTAGTTTTGTGTGTGATGCCAGGAATATGTGGCTCATTGCAGGAGGAATTTGTGGAGGTATGCATCATCATTAGGCAAACTGAGATTACAATACAGTTAAGTTCTTGCAAAAAGAAAAGCCAAAGAAAGGCAAGATTAATAACTTCTTATGCTGCATCATGTGGTATCTGACAATGCAGCGTGTTCTTGATCGTCCCTTTAGTCTTCGTCCTCCTTGCTTTTCATAAATAAGAAACAGTGAAACAGTTCTGCCTCAGATCTTTGGTCCATGTCCTCCCCCCACAGAAATTTGTACATCCATATTTGCCCGTGTATAAAATACGCATGTGTATGCAAAATGGGAATTGGCAAAAACCCCCCAAACCAACCAAAAAAACCCAACAACAAAACCCCCTGTCAGCAGTACAGTTCTCATTGTGCCAGACAACATTATAGTGGTAATGGTTTAAATGCAGGAGTTCCACCCCTTCAATTACCAGTGCCGCTTCCTGCCGGCAGCCAATGGAATGGAAAACAGCAATATGTTTTCTGTGCAAATGGGCTATCCTCTTAGATTCACTCTTGTTTCCCATGTGGTCATCTGCGGAATGATTAAGTGCACTGGTGAGACCAGAATGCGTTTTGTGTTAGTCATAGACAAAAAGTGATGCATCGACGTACTATTGATGAGTATTGGATGTTGTAAGAAAATCTTAAGTGACTGCTTTAACAAACGTGGAATGACATTGCTCTAGTGTATGCAAAATGTGGGTCGCTCATACAGAGAGAAATCTAATGAATAATTTTTTCTTTTTTCTTTCTAACATGAACTGGGGTGGGGGAGAGGGAATGCATTCAGGCAAGGTGTAGAAATGGCAGCTAATTACTGCTGGTAGCATCTGGCGCAAGTAGAATTTGGAGTGATGGGAAGTTCATGCATTTTTAAGTAATACTTAGTCTTGCCAGCGTAGTGGTTGCTTCTGAAAATTTAAGTGTTGAACCCTATAATATTTTCTAAAGTAGCTCATGTATAAATAAGCTTTACATGTTCTCAGACTTTGTGCTGCATTTCATGGTGAAACCCAGTATAAATATTGCTAGACTATGACAAACGTTTTAGCCAAGCTTTTAAATTAATGGCGTAGGTATGTGACCAACAAGTATTTGTTTTGGGATGTGGTAGGGTTTGTCTAACTGTTCAATTACTTAATTAAATAGTGCATTACAATGTAAAACCTGTAGATTTGGGGGAATGCATATAAAATATGTGGACAAAAAGATTAAAATGCAGCTATTCTGAAGCATCTGAATTTGTAAAAATGAGCCTGTAATATTTAATAAAAGTAGTTATTAATAATTATCAATACAAACGTTGCTGTAAATGTTGTAGTCTTATGCTATTATCCGAAAAAGTGCTCAATATATTGAAAAATGTAAACCTCAGAACTACAATGCGAGAAATTCTTTTCTGTAAGAAAAGTGAAATTGCACTGCTTACTTTCTAGTTAGGATGTAAAGCCTTTTTACTGAAAAACATGTTCG